GCACGTCGCGCGTGCCGGGATATTGATGTGTGTACGTACGTATATTTGGACTTGTTTAGTTTCAAACTATTTCTTTAAACTTCCAACTTTTCCATCACATCGAAACTTTCTTACACACATAAACTTTCAACTTTTTCGTCACATCGTTACAATTTCAACTAAACTTTCAATTTTAACATGAACTAAACACATGCCATGCCGCGGCGTGCACATACGTACGTACGCCTCCCGTGTGTGCGCCGGCCGAGCCGATCGATCTGCCGACGGAACGAACGAACGCGAGGTGTGGAACGCGTGAGCGCGGCCGTGCGCACGGAGTTGCTTCTCCCACCACGCACGACTGCACGACGGCAGGAGGCCACAGCCACAGATGCGTGCGGCGGGCAGGAGCGACGAAACGGCTGATACTGCGCTCCTACCGTTTTTAAGATACTCCCTCTTTCCTACTCTCTCTCCGTTTCTCATATGTTATTATTAACGACGTGTTTAGTTCCAAAGTTATTCTTCAAACTTCCAACTTTTCCATCACATTAAAACTTTCCTACACACATAAACTTCCAATTTTTCCGTCACATCGTTCCAATTTCAACCAAACTTCTAATTTTAGCGTGAACTAAACACAGCCTTAAGTCGTTTTGATTTTCTTCTAGCTAAACTCTTTTAAGTTTGATTAAATTTATAGAAAATTTTAGCATATGAAAACACCAAATTAGTTTTATTAATTAAATCTAGCATTGAATATATTTTGATGATATGTTTGTTTTGTATTGAAAATGCCAGTATATTTTTTTATAAACTCGGACAACTTAAATAAGTTAGAAAAAAAATTTAAATGACTTATAATATGAAATAAAAGGAGTAAAATATAGAAATTTATGATTGAACGAAACATATCTTAATACCACGAATATAGATAGACCAATATTCCGTAATTAATGCTCTTGAAATTCTGATCATCGATTTTATGCTAGAATAAATTCTACGACACTATCAATTATGATACAACTTTTTAGCTAAATTTGTGTACACCATTTCGTTTTTTTTCTAAACTAAACATTTCACAAATATTATTGCTGATCAGAATTCATTTTAAAAGTTTGATCTAAAATATAGCAACCTCTAACTACATTTTTTATACAAATTAGAAGTTACTATGTACTATGTGGTTGTTCAGATTGATGTTATTTCAAACCATATTATTTTTTGGGTAAGTTACCAAAGATGTATGGTTTTTATCAAATTTTAGTAAATATATAAGGAATCATGCCAAAACTTGGCAATATCGCTAACTTATCAAAATTTTCACATTCTTAAAATTTGGTAAAGTTTATTTTTGACTATAATCTGAACAGCCGATATATTTTAGAACGGAGATAGTAAATATTTATGACCAGAGTAAATAACTATCATTGTACAAATACTATTTACTTTTAAACTTTTATACTTCTCTAGAAAAAAATACAGATACTCAAAGCATACCATGCTATCAAAAAGTTCATCATAATCTATCCATCTAACATATACCCCCTCCGTATTTTAATGTATGACGTTGTTGACTTTTCGACCAACGTTTGACCATTCGTTTTATTCAAAATTTCCGTGCAAATATGAAAGTATTTATATCATACTTAAAGAACATTTGATGATGAATCGAGTCAAAATAAAATAAATGATAATTGTATAAATTTTTTGAATAAGACGAATGGTCAAACGTTTGATAAAAAATCAACGGCGTCATACATTAAAATATGGAGGTAGTAGTATTGACTTTCAGATTTAAAACAGCTCCATGTTGACTGTTACTTAAAAACAGAGAAATTAATCGCTGTACGTTCTACTTGGGGTTGAATTTTGGGCTAAAACAAATTGATGTCCAAATGCATGCATCGCCATTATTTCGATGATGACACGTTAATGTGAAAACATCCTAGTCGACGGCGTTTTCGTGCGAGTACTACTACGAGTACGTACTATTCCACTAGCTCTACTAGACGTGCAGTGTGTGCGGGTCTCTGTCGTGGTGGCCACAGCAATCGAGCACGAGAAATAAAATCGTGTGGAGGCCAGAGGCTTTCTACTAGCCAAGCCGTTTCTGTCGACGTTGGAAAAAAGAGAGTATAGGAGAATAGGCATCGTTGTCTCGATCCGTATGGTATTTGGCAGTTAGTTTGGTATACATACGTATTACTACTACGTATGTATATGTATGGCCACGTATACGTATGTGATAGAGACATGGGCATCTGATGGCTTGATGCCTCGATCTTAGATCAATTTGTCGTGTCGAAAGGAACTGTGTCCTGCTCCATCCGTCCCAAAATAACCTCAGCCATGAGTTTCCGTATTCAATTTTAACCATCCATCTTATTTAAAACTTATTATTATTATTATTATTATTATTATTATTATTATTATTATTATTATTATAAAGCATGGATAGTACTTTATATGTACTAATGTTTTTTAGATTTTTGAAAAAATTTTAAATAAGACGGACGGCTAAAGTTGGATATGGAAGCTCATGGCTGGACATTTATTTTGGGACGGAGGTAGTACTATTGTGTAAATCAGGGCCTCCTTTAAGCTGAGTTAGTTTTGTTGGTTTTTCTAACCCACATCTCTCATCTTTCACTTGCATACTTCATAAACTACTAAACGATATTTTCATTAAATTTTTCTAAAAAAATACTTTAAAAAACATATTAATTCATTTTTTTAAAAAAATAAACTAATACTTAATTAGCCATATGCTAGTGAATCATTCTGTTTTAGTGCTAAGAGATTAGTTCTCATCTCCGGTCAAAGAACGCAGCCTTAGCTTATGCTTGTTCGGATAAGCTGTTTGGCTAAAACTTTTTACGGCAAATGAAAAGATCAAGACATTACTGCATTGCACAATTAGTATTGATTATTATAAATTTAAAACATAAATTTAATTTATTTTCTTAATAAAGAACCTTATGAAAAAAATTTACATAAAATATTTAGCAGTTCGGATAATGTGCTGATGAAAAAAAAAGTAGCAGTACTGAATACTAGCTATCTAAGGTGGTGTTTGGATCCAGAGACTTAACTTTAGTCTCTGTATTTAGACACAAATTTAGAGTATTAAATATGGACTACTTACAAAACTAACTACATAAATGAAAACTAATTTGCAAGACAAATTTTTTAATCCTAATCCATAATTAGATAATGTTTACTGTAGCATCACATAGGCTAATCATGGATTAATTATGTTCAATAGATTCGTCTCGTGAATTAGTCCAATATTATGGATGGGTTTATTAATAGTCTACGTTTAATATTTATAATTAGTGTCAAACATCTGATGTGATGGGAACTTAAAAATTTTAAAAGTTTTAGTCCCATCTAAACAGGATCTAAAGCTTACTCTAGATTGGATAAACAATGAACTCCCTCTGGTCAATAATATTTGACACTGGGAGTATTAAATTTTGGCTCCGGCAATATTCAGTTTGTTGTTTTTTTTTTGGTTTTTCATTTTTTTAGGGTGCATTAACTTTGTGCACACTGCTGATAGTCTGCTACTGCACGATCGGTCGTGTAGCTAGTTTGACTACTGTTGGACAGTTGGAGCTTCTAACAACTCCGATAAAATCATGTCGGGTTAAAGATTAAAGGCAGAGCAGATGCGATGCAACCTCATAGTTGACCTTGCTGGTAGTAGTAACATAATTGCTAATAAGACAAAATAAAAAATCTACCTGTAATTATTCTTAAAAAACTAATTTTAAAAATATTAAGTCGTTCTAAATTATAATCCACAAAGGAAATTAAACAAACATGCCTCCTCCAAAGCAGTTCATTCCTACCTCTTTAGTATTTACTAACAAAAAAAATGATGTGCGCATCCAAAAAATCATCCCCTCATCGATTTTGTTATTTTAATGACCCAGCAAAAAACAAAGTTATTTTGAAAGTAGATTTCCTGCATATTTACAAAAAATAAACCTCAATTTATTATTTTAAAAGTTGATTTCACACATATTTACAAAAAACTAAACTAAAATTTATCTAAATGTAGAATTATATTTGACATAAAAATCATGCTTTTATTAATGTAATTAAATACAATCGAATTTATATGTTAACTACACTATTATAATTTGAACCCATAGTAACAAATGACATGTTTTTCCCATGATATATGTGATACTCCTTCGTCCTAAATCATGATAACTTTTAGAATTAAACTTTTCTTCTTCGAAATATAGCAACAATAAACTACTCATACAGTCATACTACCCCTGTTATTATCCATTATATTTATTATAGTCCGGGCCTATACCTCTCCTTAATAACCATGATAAAAGTTAAAACTTGATATATTATGTGCTGAAGAAGAAAATAGTATCTTTAACACTCAGGTCATAATTAGCCGTCTATTTTTCTCCCCTCATTTCTATTTTTCCCCTTGATCCTTGCTAGCCTTCACAGCCATATATATTATCCAAATGCCCCTTGATTAGTGAACACCGTCACCAAAAATAGAAGAAAGAGAAAGTTGCTACAGTAGTAATGTATTCTCCTTCAGCGTACCGTGTGCTAAAAAAGGAGCATGTATAGAAAGGGTACACTGTACGATGTTCACCCGTGTACAGCTATAAATTAGTACCACTCCAGTAGTATATACTCCATCCAATACTTAAGGCATGTTCATTTCATTTTGATGACATTTTTAATCTTATCAAATTTTGATAAAGTTGTCAAAAAAAAAAGTTACATTTAATTTGCTGCCAAATTTTGATAACTTATCAAATTTTGGTAGGATTTCTTATATAGTTACTTAAATTTTGACAACTATGCTAAAATTTTAGCATTTGCTAAAATTTAGTAAGGTTTTTTTTACATCAAAAATGAACAGACACTTAAGTGTAGCAACTGAAGGGCGCCACTGAAAGAAAATCACCCAAAACACCTACAATTGTTTTTTTAGAGGAGAGAGAGGAAGAGAGAGAAAGGCTACTGAGAGAGAGAGAGAGAGAGAGAGAGAGAGAGAGAGCAGCACTCGTGGGGTTAAAACCCCAAGAACAAGTTAGAAGTAGCAGGAAGCTGCAAGAGGAACTGAGGAAGGAAGCAAGAAAGCAAACCAAACCAAACCAAACCAAGAAGCAAATCTCAGTTGCAACTCTTGAGCTCAGAAGAAGTTGCAACAGAAGAAGGAGGGAGAAGGGAAGCATCTCAGCTAGCTAGGCAGGAAGCATGCTCCTAGCCTCCCTCTCCGGCTGCGGCGGCGGCGGCGGCGGTCGGATCTGCCGGAGAGCGGCGGCCGGGGAGCCCAGAGCTGAGAGCTAACCGTGCAGACCTCGCGGCCGCGAGATCTGACCACGCGACTCCTCGGATCAAGCGGTGTCGCCTCCCGCAGCAGCATTTCCCCCCCCCCCCCCCCCCCCGAAGATCACAGCCTTTTTTTCCACTGGTTCTTGCTGGTCTTGGAAGTGGGGAAAAAAAATTCTCATCACCTCGTCGATGGAGAAGCTTACGACGCTTGCTCGGTAGATTTGATTTTTCTTTTTCTTCTTCTTCCGGGGGAAGCGTAATTGCGAAACAGCGAAAGAAGAAGTGTTGGTGAGTTGGCGAAACTGAGAAAGCGATGGTTTTTGGGAAGGCGCTGTGATTTGGCCTAAAAAGGAGGAATCTTTCCTTCGTTCTCTCCTTCCTTCCCCAGCTTCGTGCACGCTCTTATATTGCATTTCAGATCGGTCTTGTGATTGGTCTTTTGGAGAGAGAGAGAGAGAGAGAAGAAAAATGAGGCTTTCGTCGTCGTCCGGCAGCGTCCTCCCGGCTCAGGCGGCGTCGCCGGAAGGTACTACTTCTTGTTTTTTTTTAAAATTCAGAGTTTTCTGTGCTCCGTGGCTTGCTCATTAATGCCATCTTTGTTCATTTATTCAGAGTGTATTATGAAGTTCATAGGACTAGTATGTATTTGGTTGCTGTTTGTTCGTATGCCTTGCTTGAAAGTTTCAGAGCTCGTATTTTGGACTGTGTTCTTTGTGATCAGGAAGCTACAGAATGCGGCAAATTTGAGCTCTCTCTGTTATTTGGATTTATTCTGATGATTTATTTTGGAAAGGATGTACTAATTGGCATGTGAATTTCTTTCCCTCCCCCTTTGGATTTTGGCCTTCTGTTCCCATGAAATTTCAGTTCTGTAATCATGTATATGCTGTCTATTTTCGATCCAATTCTTACTTATGCCTTGATTCCTTTGGACTGTTCTTTCCTGAGACTTTTTTTTGTGCTTATCACCTCCATAATAGTCTATTTTCTAGGAATATGCAAAGAGAAAAAAGGCCCTTGCCCAATGTTAGGCCACTGAGAAGTTCATTTAGTACCATATCCACCTCCTCTAACAATGCTGAGCATATGAAATCAGAAATGTTACACTTTATGCTCCCTAGCATTGTTTGTTAAAACTTGGTCTTCTGACCAACTGCTTTTGCCATTACAGCTGTAGAAGAACAAAAATGCCTGAATTCGGAGCTCTGGCATGCGTGTGCCGGTCCCCTTGTTTCGTTGCCTGCAGTGGGTAGCCGAGTGGTTTATTTCCCACAGGGTCACAGCGAACAGGTTAGAATTTTTTCACTCCACTACAAGTAATGCTTGAGAGTATCATGTGATGGTTTCACTGCCAAATTGAAATCCGATTTGATTCTATCAGAAATCAGTTGCTTCCATTTCTGTGTAAATTCATCGGGTCAATTGCTGCCGCAGGTAGCTGCATCAACAAATAAAGAAATGGAGTCTCAGATCCCCAATTATCCTAACTTGCCTCCACAACTTATTTGCCAACTTCACAATGTGACGATGCATGTAAGTTTAGAGAACATCTTTTTTTCGTTTCCAGAGCCAAGTAATCTCACTGCTGACCTTGTGTTGCATCGTCTGCTTATTTCCTTCAGGCAGATGCAGAAACAGATGAGGTTTACGCTCAGATGACGCTACAACCACTTAGCCCGGTAATTCATAATTTTTATAACCACTTGTGCTATGTGCAAATTTCTAAGTAGTCTCCAAGAGAATAATTTTTGGGCTTTCTTTTCTTTTCAGCAAGAGCTCAAGGACCCATATCTACCAGCTGAATTAGGTTCTGCCAACAAACAGCCAACGAATTATTTTTGCAAAACATTAACGGCAAGTGACACAAGTACGCATGGCGGATTCTCTGTTCCCCGTCGAGCAGCTGAGAAAGTGTTCCCTCCGCTGGTTTGTGCTGTTTTTCTCCCGTTTTCCAGTTATTCTTTTAATTGGTTCATCATCTGTTCTAATTGTCTTTAATTTTGTAGGATTTTACTCAGCAGCCTCCAGCACAGGAGTTAATTGCAAAAGATCTTCATGGCAATGAGTGGAAGTTTCGTCATATCTTTCGTGGTGAGCAGTTTTTTCCTATTGTCATTTCTAAGTCCTCTGATAATAAACTATGTATTACCTTTTACAGTTGTGATAAATACTATCCATTAAACTCTGGTAGCCATTGAGGTCAATTTATCTTTGTAAATGAAAGGAACAAAAATCCTTAAATATGTAATGGAAATAAGGAAAATTAAATTAATGTTTTTCATGATAAAATGGATCAAACATGGAGCCATGGAGGTGATTTTTTTTCATTGGGGCTGGATTATTTGCTTAACAAAAACGAGTAGCTTAAGGTGAGAACAAAGCTTGCTCATATATTCTAATTTGTGGTGCAGGTCAGCCAAAGCGACACCTTCTAACTACAGGCTGGAGCGTCTTTGTAAGTGCAAAGAGACTTGTCGCCGGGGATTCTGTCCTATTTATCTGGTACATTTATTTATCAAAGATGCAGAATGATCACTTGACACTGTCCTGTGCTTAGCCATTTACGTTTCAGTGGAGAGATTGTTTGTGGTTTTATATATGTATTTCCTTGCATTGTCAGGAATGACAACAACCAGCTTCTTCTGGGAATTCGTCGAGCTAACCGCCCACAAACTGTTATGCCATCTTCAGTCCTATCTAGTGATAGCATGCATATTGGTCTTCTTGCTGCGGCTGCTCATGCTGCTTCAACAAATAGCCGGTTTACAATTTTTTATAACCCAAGGTAATATTTTTGTATAACATTTATTTACTCAGAATTCCTCCTAACTATTCCCTTCCGTTTAATGCAGAGCAAGCCCTTCAGAGTTTGTTATCCCACTTTCTAAATATGTTAAGGCTGTATATCATACCCGTATATCTGTGGGCATGCGTTTCAGGATGCTTTTTGAGACAGAAGAGTCAAGTGTACGGAGGTATGATGAATTGTGTTTGCCTGGTAAATTTTCATAGACTCAAAAGTACATAACTGCCTGACAGGATCAAATATTCTTATTTGCAGATACATGGGCACGATAACAGGAATTAGTGATCTTGATGCTGCTCGTTGGCCAAACTCACATTGGCGTTCTGTAAAGGTACATTTCCAGGCTAGCATTTTTTCTTATTGCCTTCAATCCTGTTCTTTACACATTTGACCATACAAGTTTTCTGTTAGGCAGGATGAAATTTCCTCTTTGGATTGCGTGTTGGTCTCATCGTCCTGGTACCAACATTATGGTTCAGCATGTTGATAGTGTTTTTCTTGGATAATGCAGGTTGGCTGGGATGAATCAACTGCCGGAGAGAGGCAGCCAAGGGTGTCGCTTTGGGAGATTGAGCCCTTGACAACTTTCCCAATGTACCCATCTCCTTTTCCACTCAGACTGAAGCGTCCATGGCCAACAGGCTTGCCTTCATTACATGGTAGGAGGGGCAGTTGATGTTTACTTCACATTTTCAGATAGCTGCATAATTGATGTGTATTACTCTTTTAAACTGTGAATCATCTTTCAATGATGACTACCTGTAGGTGGTAAGGATGACGACTTGACTTCTTCTCTCATGTGGCTCCGAGACAGCGCAAATCCTGGTTTCCAATCATTGAATTTCGGGGGTCTCGGTATGAATCCTTGGATGCAGCCAAGGTTTGATGCTTCCTTACTTGGTCTGCAACCTGACATGTATCAAACGATAGCTGCGACTGCTTTCCAGGACCCAACAAAGCAGGTCTCTCCCACGATATTGCAGTTCCAGCAGCCGCAGAACATAGGTGGCAGAGCTAATACACTTCTGCCAAGTCAGATTTTGCAGCAAGTGCAGCCTCAGTTTCAGCAGCAGCAATACCTCCAAAACATCAACGAGACCACAATCCAAGGGCATGCTCAGTCTGAGTTCCTTCAGCAGCAGCTCCAACGCTGCCAGTCGTTTACTGAGCAGAAGCCACAGCTGCAAACCCAGCAACAACAGCAAGAATCACAGCAACAACAGCAGCAGCAATCGCAGTGTATGCAAGTCCCACAACATCAGCAAATGCAACAGCAGAAGAACATGACCAACTATCAGTCTGTACCTAATGCATTGTCACCGTTTTCTCAACTCTCCTCTCCTTCTCAGTCTTCACCTATGACACTGCAAACAGTATTACCATTCTCCCAGCCACAGAGCTATCCAGACACGAGTATGAGCTCATTGTCACCATCCAACACATCCACCATGCATAATGCATTGAGGCCATTTTCATCGGAAGCACCTTCGCACCTAAGCATGCCAAGACCGACTGCAGTACCTGTCCCTGACCCATGGTCATCGAAGCGAGTTGCAGTGGAGTCTTTGCTTCCCTCTCGTCCTCAGGTTACATCGCAGATGGAGCAGTTGGACTCAACAGCACCTAGTATACCACAAAGCTCTGCGTTGGCGCCGCTTCCTGGAAGAGGATGCTTGGTGGATCAAGATGGGAACTCTGATCCTCAAAACCATCTGTTATTTGGCGTTAACATAGATTCACAGTCACTTCTAATGCAAGGTGGCATCCCAAGCCTCCAGGGTGAGAATGATTCGACGGCAATTCCTTATTCCACCTCCAATTTCCTGAGCCCGTCGCAGAATGATTTCCCCTTGGATCAAACACTAAGTAGTGCAGACTGCTTAGATGAATCAGGATATGTGCCGTGTTCACAGAATTCTGATCAAGTGATTAATCGACCACCTGCGACCTTTGTGAAGGTGAGTGCTTTCCTATGTCATACTTCCCTGAATCTGTCTCTCTCTCGCTCTCTCTAATTTGTGCTTATGAGATTGTCAGCTATCCACTGTTTTGCTCATTATATGACTTTATCACTAACTGTGTATTGCTCTTTCCTTTAGAATATATGTAAGTTGTGTGCTATACATATGCATGATAACTTTTGCCATTAGATGTAATAAACTGCAGTGCAGTCTCTGAAATGCTCAGTATCTTGTTAACTTATTGATTAGTACTTCTTGGATCACTGCTAATCTGCAAATTGTTTCAATGTGAAAAACAGGTTTACAAATCGGGAACCTATGGAAGGTCACTTGATATCACTAGATTTAGTAGCTATCATGAACTTCGTAGAGAACTAGGGCGCCTATTTGGCCTTGAGGGCCAGTTGGAAAACCCTTTGAGATCAGGCTGGCAGCTTGTATTCGTCGACCGAGAGGATGATGTCCTCCTCGTTGGCGACGACCCTTGGCAGTAAGTTTTTGTAAACTATTCTGATGATAATTTGAGATATTTCATGCTCTTCTTACAACATGAAACTTCGACAATTTCAGGGAATTCGTGAATAGCGTCTCCTGCATAAAGATACTTTCACCACAGGAGGTGCAGCAGATGGGCAAGCCCTTTGAGCTTTTGAGCTCGGCTCCCGGAAAGAGGCTAGGTAGCAGCTGTGATGACTATGTGAGCAGGCAGGAATCAAGAAGCCTGAGCACAGGAATTGCATCTGTCGGCTCAGTTGAATTCTGAAGCAAGGGCGCTAACGAGCCCTTCAATCAAATCTAGCCTGTTACCTATGTTTCTGCAGTTTTTCTTCCCCTAGTTTTGAGACCTGGAACTGAAAGAACATAGATCCATGCTTAGCTAAGTTATGTACCATCTAATAATTATGCTATATGATATCAAATTCCAAGTAGAAACTATCAACTTTTGGTATATATATATATACCAAAACTTTGTTCCATGAAACACTAATCCTGTGAATGTAGGCCATCTAAATTATCAGGCTCACCGCGAAGTTTAGCACATGTTGCATATCTTGTTCATATTCTGCATAATCATGGCATTTTGGTTCCACATGTGGCACTGGTGGCAGCAACCAAAACATTATGGTGGTCCTTGGCAAAACAGGTAAAACATGCTCCATTACCAGGTAGGACCATCCTGGACAGAATTCAATCTCAGACCAGATGCTTTGCACAATGGAATTGTCCAGTTGTAGCTGTTTCAATGGCTTTGCTGGCAAGTCAATCTCATTGAATTCCATTTATAAGCCTTATGATGGATGAACAATCTTACCTGCTTGCAAATACAAGTACCAGGTTACTTACTTCTACTGTTACCAGTGTGGTCACTGCTGCTGCCATAAAAAGTACTAGTTCATTGTAATGCTGTGAGGATCATGGATAGACCCAAAGAAATAAGTCATCTGGCTTACTCTACTTGGAGGAATTAGGCGTCATTTCTTGGAGGCAAATGGCTTTGCAAGAGAGCTGGACCAGCAGGCCCCACCCCATGTGAGGTTTGGGTCCCCATCTAGCTGATTGACCCTCACTCAACTCACACTGAATCATCAATTGCAATGCTGTGAAAAGGAAATAGAAGATGGCCTCCCTTTCCTCAAGGTCAGCCAGTTGTGTGTGTGTGTGTATGTGTGGATGTGAATGTGAATGTGATACCCCTCTCACCTCCACCATCAATCCATCCATCGGTCTTTCACACATCCATTTCTTCAGGCCTTAATGCCCATCTATGCATCCATCTGTCTCATGTGCTGAATGATTGATATACCCTACCCCTCTTGTGCTTGGGGATGCAAGTTTCCTCACACATGGTTACCCATTGGTCCACCCAATTTCTCTAGAAGTACATTTGTGGGTAAAACGGCTTTTCAACAACCAAAAAATAATCTATGCGTTAAACTTGTATATTTACGTTCTTAGCAACTTAAAAAAGCTAATACTGAAAAATAAACCACGATGAAGTAAAACTCTCAAAGTGTCTAAATTATGGCAGCGGCTAAGACAAACGATGGGAAAATTAATAAACTAGCATCGATTGACATGTACTTAGATCGACCTTTGTATTTTTAAAGATAATGAAAAACGGTTTACATCTCCAACCTCTGCATGGTGTACACACAGCCCTCAGAAACATACTTACATGTCTACATAAGCACATAGTTCTTGGCTCAATGGTGCTCCCAAGGGATGTGTATAGTGTAGGACTTTGACTATAGTGGGTGGTGAATTAGCTTTGGTTTTGGTTGTGTGATTGTGACAAGTTTAAAGGTGGAAGAGCATGTGGAGTGCAATAACACACACCACCCACTCTTTTTATTTTTGAAGGATTTGGGCATCTTGCTCTCCCCACAACAATCTCTTGATGATTCCTCCATCTCACTCAGATCTCTTGCCCTGGGCCCATCTATCTGCCTTTGCTCCTCCTCAGATCTTGGCCTCATCCTCACTACTCTCTCACTGCCCTTTCCTCCATCCACAGCAATGGAAGCTTTGGAGGTTAGAACACGCAACTAGACAAGTGGTTCAATGCAGATAGACAGACAGGTAGATAAGACAGATCGATGGATAGATAGATTGGGTACCTCGCCGTCGGCGACAGCATGGCGTCAAAACTCCAAAAAAACATTTTGTCGTCTGCTGGTTGGTCATGGTCACAGTCACAGGTGAAATGAACACCAAGAATCTACCTGTCCATGTTCAAAATCTCGCAGATTCTACCCAGGCAGAAAAATGACATGGAAGTAAAGATAAATGAATTGAATTTTGGCCATGGGGGCCCTTTAACAAATCATCATCACAGTATGCACAAACCAATATATCATCCTCTCATCATGTTGTGTACTACATTCTAAAAATCAAAACAAACGGCTTAAGATCAGTCTGTTACAGAACGAGCTCATCTACCTGTTGCCCGAGTAAAAAACTCCATTGGCAAACATGACCACACTCAGTGCCCAGTAATACAGATTCAGTAATTTGGCCATTTTTGTTCTAATCTGAGTGTGTTGATAATAAACAGAGAACTTTCTAAACGTTTCAACTGCTCAGGTTTCAATGCGCTCTCAACAGAGAGCACACAATCTATCTTCATGGATCAAAGGTGCTCAATCTCGCCTTATCGTTTCCGCGACCTCCTGGGCGCTGCTTCCTCGTCACTCTCACTGTCATCGTCTCGGAGGGCGCTTCTACCGTATCTGTCCCCAGACTGCGACCTGGCTCCTTCTGCTCCAGAATTCCCAGTGGCGTCATGACCCCTGCTTCCCTGATCTGAAGTTGTCTCATACCTGTCACCCCTCTCACCACCTGGCCTTCTTTGCTCCCGCTTCGTGCCACGGTTATTTGGTGGAGGTGGTGGGGGCATGAAGGGAGCCATACCAACGGGTCGATTTGGCCGTCCAGGCCCACCCATTCCCAAGCCTCCCATTAGCGGTCCACGACCAGGACCCATCATCATTTCTAGCCCCATAGGAAACATGCCCCCAGGTTGTGGGGGCCTGCCGGGGAAGACCATACCAGGCATAGGACCTCCTCTAGCGAAGTCACCAGGGAATCTTGGGCCAAATGGAGGAAAACCACGAGGCACACCAAAAGGATCAGGCATACCAAAACCACCACCAAAACCAAAACCGTCGCCGATCATGTTGGGAGGGAAGCCACGCCCTCCCATCATTGGCCCAACACCACGCAGCATTGGCATTTGAGGTGGCCACATCATCCCTCTTCCTCTTCCCCTTCCTTGAGATTCTTGGCCATTGCCCTCTTCTTCCTCCTCGCTTTCCTCTTCCTCCTCTTCTTCATTGTCATCAAACAGCACAATATCTTGATTGTCAGCTGCCTCATCAGCACTAACTCCTTTAGCCTTTTCTTCTTCTTTCTTGGCCTCCGCTGCAATTAGTATAGCCTAAACCAAGATAAAAAATATCAGCCAGCGGTGGGCATTACATCACCTCAATAGGTCAAAATAAGAAAAAGCAGTACATGGAAAAATGTTTTTAAAAGCAAGTAGATAAATCATTTACGCCTTAGACAAGGAATCAGTCAGCTCAAGATAGATCATAATAACAATTATTCACTTTACCACAATATCTTTCTTCCAGTAAAACAGTACGGCAACCATAAAACTTGCTATTGCAGTTTATCTTTATAAGAGAGTGTGTTCTGAACCCAAAGGTAATTCCTATCTGACTAAATGCAAGCAAATCGTCCTTTAAATTTTAGTCAACCTAGAGGATGCAGTTGTTATCTTTCCTTAACACTGCAAGATAATAATTGCTGTGTCTTTGCCCTCTATTTCTTTCCAAAACAATTCTGACAACTTAAATATGGTGGTGTTTTTTGAATTATGGTTCCTTCATCATGATTGGATTAGTCTAAGAAGTACATCACAAGTGTGACAACACATCAACAGGCATTGACTTGACAACAGCAAACGATACTACAGTATGGATTTTTTCTACATATCTGCAATTTAGAACCATGATCATTATTGCAGGATATTAGCCCAAAGCAAAGTCATGTGTAACCCAATTGTGGTGTTAACTGCAATGGTGTAAGCTGGAGGAATGCCCACAAGAAAAAAGGAAGCTAATGCATATAGAGATGTTCGCCATAATAATTTAGTATGAAATTCTGATTTAATAAAAATTAAGAAATGCATGGCATACCGTCAGCTCGCTGTCTGGTTCTAGATAAAGCAGTGAAGCCAATTGCTCACCAATGAAGGGTTCTAATTCCTGGCAATCTCGGCTGATCTGCATAAGCCAAAAGTGAATTAAGCAGTTCAGTCATGAACTCTCAAGGATTTGGATGAAGAATTACATGCTGAAACCTAAGGAGCACACCATTGCATAACTTTCTTCCATAATCATATACAGAAGTAGCATTTAGTTAGTGATGCGCCATACCTTAACGGGGAGATTGTCATTGTATGGATTGCGCAGATGATGTGTTTTCTGAAATGACAGTTCACAGAGCTGCAGTGCAAAAACTGTTGTAAACAGATGCACAATGATGATAGAAAACATAATATGTTCACGTATAAAAGATACAAGATAAATCAATAGACACCATTGCAATCAACAGTTTAATATAAGATTCATCAACATGCTAGAAACTTTGAAAGGGCTAAAGCCAACAAAAGATCTAGCTATTTATCTGTCAAATGAACGGACAGAATATCCATTATGAATAGATAATCTGAACCTAAAGAATTTCATAGCAAGCTAATGAAGACCGTAGATATTTGATATTTGCTCAGTAATAACATCTTCATAATCTTGTCTCAGCAGTTTAAAATATCCGGGAGGGAAATTTAGTTAAGCTAGTATTGTATCTTTAGCAGTACCAGCTAGCGTTATCAAAATTATGAGGACCATATTTCTATGTAGTGTGATAACAATTCACGACCATATAATTTGCTTTATCATAACTAAGGCCCTATGTTCCATGAGCTACAATTAAAAACAGTAGTACAAAGAAAGGTGTACCTTAAGCCATTGTATGGAGAAGTTCCGACCATAATGTGCCGTTCCATGAGCAGATTTCCAATTTCCACCACCAATGTAGCCACCAATCCTAGAAGTCATCTTTGCACAACCCTTGAAAAACATAACATGGTTAAGTAGTATGACTTCAAACTGTCATTCCCAATACACATTCAATATTCATAGGGAAAATGAAACCTCCACTTTACCTGGAAATTACGAGTTCTATTGATTGAGAATATCAAAATAACATTCTCAATGGATTCAAAGGCTTCATTAAGTTTAGCCTCATTACTCCTTTGGGTAGCCCAAATGCCCTGCTGAACTGATATCTCCAGATTCTCCCTATTGCAACTCTTGACAATGAAGTACCTGATTTTTACATTACCAACCAAAGACTTGATTAGAGAACTATTATAGTACCAGAAGACACTTGACACCATGAAACAATCAAGCAGAACTTCTAGCTGGAAAAGCATTAAGTTATTCCCGATGGGAGTACCAAGATAAGGGTGAATGCTACCTTTAACTATACAAAACATTAGGTAATAAAATACTAACAATTATTTGGCCACAAGGATAGTAGCAAGTGAAAGCTGTTGGTTTTGCAATATTGACAATTTAGACATTGCATGAGATGTTGGATTTCTAAGTACTAAAGCACATCGTTGAGAGACTCAGAAAGACTATAAATATAGGCTGCCAAAATCTACACCAGCATCAGTGTAATAGCTAATAACCAAATAACTACATAGTTGGTTCAATCTGAGAACAACACAAGCACTAATTTGAACTAAAGCATACAACATTTAAATTCCATAGGTCAAAGTAAAATGTATATTCCCTCCAGAAATTGCCGAGGCTTGCTACTACCATGGACACGGCATGCTATGGCTTACCAGATCATATTTTTTCAAAACTAACTGTTTATGAAACTTTCATGTGGTATCCTTACTCAAACTTCCCATCATGAAATCCTACTATACAAAGTTTAAACTTGGCAACAATGATAGATTGATAGGAAGCACACTTCTTCTAAAGTGCTAAACAATGTGGAACCAACCTTGAGGTAGCTACAACTAGTTAACAGTACCGAGAAAAAGAAATAATAATAACTAGCAACTTGTGTAATTAGCAAAAAGATGATCACAACATTTTGCTATCAGTCTGTCTAGGAGAATGCAAAAAGAGATTTCACAAATAAGTACATTTTATTACCAAATGTCAGAAGAGATAACATATTTGCTGTTTAATACTATGTTCTATCGTAACTGAGAGTCTGAGACTACGTGTATCATTTTCAGAGTATGCTAGAAGCTTTACAATATTTACTAGAAACTCCACACACACCTAGATGGCCCTTGTGGAAGGGGCGTTGCAATTCTAGTGGCTTGATTCGACGAGCCATTTGGAACAGATTGGACTTGGTCATTTGTATTTGGCTTCTGTTGTTGTTGTTGTTGTTGTTGTTGCTGCTGCTGCTGCTGTGGTGGCTGTTGATTTGTAGTTTGTGCTTGCTGTCCAACAGCAGGCTGAGCGGTTGTGGTTGTAGTATTATCTATACTATTTTGGTTAGGTAAACCTGAACCCTGTGGATGTTGAGGTCTCTCCCCTTGCTGATTATAGTTATTGTGCCTATGCTGATTGAATTTATTGAAAGAGCGAATCTGCAAAATCTTCTGCAGAACTTCCTCAACAGGAGGTGGTGGCCCTGGTAGCTTAACATGCTTGTACCGGCAATTAGGACCATTAGGGCAAAAGCCCATCTTGTACCTGCAAAGCAGCACAGGTTAACATATAAGTGTCAGATATATTTTTCAGTAACATCATATTCATTTAAACACATGACTACCACAATAAACAAACTCCTTTTCTGTGATGGTGCATCTGTATGACAGTTCCATCATCTATCACTCTACCATGTTCCATAAATGATATGGTTATTAACATTGCAACAAAATGTCAACTACATGGCATTTCCATAGTATCTTGAAAGTAAGCTTCTATGAGCAACAATGAGAAAACAAACAGAGTTCACTAAACTCTACCAAATGGAATCAAACAACAGAGAATCAATAGGTGATTATACCCATTGACAGCCAGGTTGACAACCACAAAGACACGCAGACTCAATCGCGGCCAAGTTAAGAGATCGCACTTGCTAAATTCCACCCAAAAATTTCGTCAACTACACAAGACCTCCAACCCAAGAGCTAACAAACGAATCATTCACAGTGATGAATATCTTACCCCTGGATCAAAGATACGCTAAAAACTTATAACATAGCAAAACGAAATCTGGGGGATCGAGGATCTCACATGTTGCACTCCTTGACATCGTCGTAGGAGTGCTTGTATGCGCAGTCGGGCTCGCGGCACTCGCCGAAGTCGCGGAAGAAGCGGCACACGGGCATCCGGGCCTTGTCGAACTGGTGCAGGAACCCGCAGGCCTCCCCCTTCATGCACAGGCCGCGGAGCCAGTGCCGGCACACCGTCTGCCGGTAGCTGCCGCGGCCGCGGCCGCGGCCGTGCCCGCCGCCATCCCCGGGGCCGCCGCCGCCGCCGCCCCCGCCCACGCCCCCGGGGTCGGACGAGTGCGGCGCGGGGCCGCCGCCGCCGCCGGCGGGGGGCTGGTCGAGGCCGCCCTCGAAGTCGAAGCTGAGGTCGCCGTCGTCCATGGTGGGGGAGAGAGAATTTTTAGGGTTTTTTGCCCCGGTTGGGAGTTGGGACTTGGGACTCATGTGGAAGGTTTCATTTTAGAACCGAATCGGAATTGGGAGTTCGGAATGGGAATCGGGAACCCGGGAATCGTGAATCCTGGAATCGGAATGGCGGGCTGGTTCGATGTAGAGTTTGGACAATAAGTGTTCCTAACTAGTTCTAAAAAAAGAAACTGTTCCTAACTTAAGATGGCTTCTAAAATTTCGTTAACAGTTTATTTTGTGACAAAAAAAAGTGCCCACCATCTCATATTGTTCGGTATTATTAGCTCCGATTTATATTATAATTCGCTTTGATTTTTTTCAAACTTTTTAAATTTGATCAAGTTTATGAAAAAAATTAAAATCTACAATATAAAATTAGATTCATTAAAACTAATATTTAATAAATTTTGATAATATGTTTCTTTTGTGTTGAAAATATTGCTTTATCTTTCTATAAATTTAATTAAACTAAAAGGTTTAAATAGGAAAAAAAAAAGTCAAAACGTCTTATAATATAAAACGGATAATTATATAATTTCTTATCTTAGATATATTATGATCGACGATAGAGCTCGAGCACATTGGGTGATTGCTGGATTTCTAAAGGGCAAGAATGAGTAGTTGGAGTTAGCTCGTATTCATCAAAAGAGAAGATTGAGGAGACAAGGAAAATATTTTATGCATAAGTTTGAGATTTTGAAAGGATTTGAATTGCGTGTGAGAAAATTCCTATTAAACCCTTTGAAACAGAGGATTGGACTCTAGAATTTCATTGCAATTTTCATGAAAATGACATGTTTAACACAAACTTTGGAGGGTTCTATCATGAGGCTCCCTCGGCCTCATCACGTACAAATCCGGCGAGCATGACATCTTGAACTACAAGATCTACCGCATAATTGCTGCCACCAGTGTGCGAGTGGGAAGCATGGCCGCCTGTGGTAGTGTCAGCGAGGGCGTCGCGGAGCGGTAGGCGGGCGGAGGCGCGTTGACGTCGAGCAAGAGGTTGAGCCCCGCAAGGTGGTCGCCTCCTCGTGCGGTCTCGTTGTGCGGACCTTGCGCACTGGGCGTTCCTACTATTCCACTCGCTCTAGTTTGCCTCGTCCCCGCCGCCACCACATGTGCCGCTCCGTCGTGCTCTTCGTCGCGCCACTCATCCTCCGAGGGTGGAGCACCTGAGCATACACGTCCAGAGTCAGGCGTCACTTAGCTAGCAAGGAGAGAGGAGGAGGAGGAGGAAGAGAGAAGAGGGAGACGAGCTGGTTGCTGATAAGTGGGATCCGCGTGGGTCCAACTTGCCATGTCAGCCAAAACCAGCCACTATACTGTCTAGAGACCAAAGTTGACACGGTATTGTGAGTTAGAGGATGGACTATACCCGGTATTTTGGTGTAGGGACGAATTTCAGACTCAGCGACAAATTGAGGGGACCTAAAATGAACTTATTCCTAACGCGTATTGACCTCAATTGAATCGAGAGCTGGTTGGGCCGGATTCCGCAAAGCCCACCATCTTAATTGGCCTCTCACTCCTTTGCTCCATCGTCGGCCTCCCCTGACGCCCGTCTCCTCGTCGCCGCCGCCGCCGCCGCCGAGCGCCGCCGCCTAATCCTCGCCGCAGGTGAGCGAGCATCCATCCATCCATCCGTACGTACGCACCACCTCTCTCTCGAATCCGCCTCAACCCTCAGCTTCTCTTCTAGATCTGGCATCCCCCATGCCCGACGTCATCTCCGCCCCCGATGCTGAAACCACCGGCGGCGGCGGCTCGTCGCCGCACGTGGAGAAGCTGAGGAAGATGCTGTTCCGGAGGATGCTGGTGGGGGTGAACGACGGGCGCTACTTCCTCGGGCTGTTCCACTGCGTCGACAAGCAGGGGAACATCCTCCTCCAGGACGCCGTGGAGTACAGGACCAGCGCGCGGCGGCGGTCGCCGTCTTCGCCGTCGTCTTCACCCGCGGAGCAGCGCGGCCTCGGCCTCATCCTCATCCCGGCCGCCTGCCGCTCCTCCTGCCATGTCGACTGCGCCGTCGAGGAGAGCATGTCGCTCCTCTCTCTCGACAGGTGAAGATGAATGAGATATACATATGCTTCTCTAGCTTTTTTTTTTTACTCTTTTTTTCTGATTGCAATAGCTAATAAACTAGCTTTTCAGCCTTGGATGAACTTATGTATGAAAATATTTTTGCTGTGGATTAATTTGCTATCATTTCTGTCATATGGGTTGCTGTTCATCTTTCACTCCTGTAGTCTGTAGAACAGAACAGATCAGTGATATACTGCTACTGGTTGCATCTCACTACGGTCAGTTTACTGGCCGAGAGTTCTTCAGTGGGATTTTAACTGATGCTGTGTAAAGTATATTTGTTTCCTGTTTATTTATTTATAAAAAGCCATAAACAAAGTGTATCAACAGGCTTGCAAAGTGGCAAGATCACTTCTTTTTGTTAGTAACTGCAATTTGGTGAGCTATTATAATCAGGCTTAGTTCATGTGGATTTTTGTTTTTGGATAGCATTTCACTCCTGTACAACAGAACAGATCAGAAATGCTACTGGATGCATTTCACTTCAGCCTGTTTACTGCCCAGCAGTTCTTCGGTCAACTTGATGGTTTATGTTAAATTTGGAGTAGGATTTTAACTGATGCTGTGTAGAGTACATCTGCTAGTACTACCTGTTTATTCAAGAAGTCATCAAAGGTCAAAGTGTATTAAGCATGTTTGCAAAACTCCTGTTTGGGATGTCTCACAGAGTGGCAAGATCACTTTCTTTTTTGTTAGTAATTGCAATTGGTGAGCTATTATAACCAGGCTTAGTCCATGTGGATTTTTGTTCTTTGATAGTAGCATATTTTTAGATGATAGCACAGAATTGATTGTCCATATTAGCAGGGAAGTTCATCATGTAAGTCCATACCCAGACTCCAAACTGATCGCGCATCGTGAAAGACGATGAATTTCTTCTACTCTGCAATACCATCATTTTTAACAATTCACTCGTTCAAAGCAGAAAGAACTCTGCAATTACCATGATCGTGTCTCAAATTTGCTTTGAAACCCAGTATTCCAGTACAAATGGTGAAATGGGCCATACAAAAATTGCCACCTAATGTTCCTAAAAACCGATAATGAAACAGTATACAACATGACCATCCTATCCAAAGTTTGTATAAGACAGACAGCTAATGAACAAATTTGCCATCAAGCCATTTTAGAGATGGATTGAGTGTCACCACAAGAGTTCTTAAGTTCTCCTTGTTGGTAACTGCATTTCCTTCAAGGCAAAGCTGTACCAAATTCACATGTTTGAAGAACAGTATGGCATCCCAGAATTCCTCCACGTTAATATTTTTCTTCCGGCATTCTTCAAAAGCTTCACATGCTTCAACTCTATGTGAGAATGGAGATGGGCAGATGTACCGGGTTGTGTCGATTGGGTGAGTTCCAATCTCGTTGCAAGATAAATCCAGTACTTTCAAAGAAATTATCTTCGTGAGTGGTTCAAGTGCTGTGAAACTACTGATCTGGTTGTTGCCGAGGTTCAAGCATACAAGCTGCTGCAAAGCCTCCAAACCTGAAATCACCAACAAATTAGTCTCTTTAAAGATGGAAGTTGGTTTGATACATCTGTTAGCTTGGCACTCGCATTTGATAAGCTAATTTACAGAACCTGTTATACTGACATTAATGCTTCTGAAGTAGAGAAAATGAGTTATTACAAGGTATGAAAAGGTCTCACCTTCAATCGATCTGAGGTTGTTGTGGCTTAGGTCCAGCATTTGGACCCACAACAAGCGTTCAGCAAATCCAATACGCGTTAAAGATAATCTGCAAAGCTGAACATGGTTTAATGGAGCTAACTTTGGTAGAGCTTTGACTGAACAGTATTTCTTGAAAGCCTCCATGTCACATGTTAACTGCAAGGAAATGTTCTGTTAGATAGCAGCGTATTGTATGCTCTAAATAAGATTTGAATGACAGTTAATAGAAACGGGTCACTTTTTATGTTAAAAAAAAAGAACTAGGCATAATTCATCTATGCATTAACGCTGTTACAGTTCTAACTTTCAAACATGACTGGTCGTAATCTGCAAAAACTGTAAACCAGAAAAGTTCGAAGCGTTAAGAGAATTATTTTACCGGCATAACTACATGGTTTCAAGGGGCATGTAGATGATTAGTCTACTCATTGACTTAGAACAATGTATTTATATTTATACAAACATAATACAACAAACTTGCAGCGAATTAGAATATGTAAAAGGCCAGCCTGTTGTAATTTCACTTTACGTCATCCTCACAAATACAAGCACACAATATTTTTTTAAAAAAGAAAAGCCAAAGAGAAAGGCATCATCTATCTCCGATACAAGATATTTCTTGCAAATAATCTGTTCATGCATGAAAGATGATAAAATGGTGAGATATTGATTCACAAAATTTTAGTTGATGGTTTCCATAAATCATAATGATCCCTTTGGCCAAAATAAACCAGTCAGATTAGTGGTAACTGGGAAATTCATAGTTTTTCATATGAGTTGATGTTACCTGATCCATTAAGACTAGGCTCCGCTCATCCTCGTAGTACCTTTTATGAGATGGATCCAGGTCGATCAAGTCATTAAAGAGCCCGAGCGACTCTTCACAGTATCCCTTCCTTTCAACAAGAGAACTTCCACGGGACTTTATTGCAGCACAGGCAAGCAATAAGCGTGCTAATGTCAACTTTGCAAACTTGCTGAGAAATAGGGCATAATGTGAAAAGGGAAGCCAAACAAATTAAGCAAAAGATGCAAAAGAGTGAAATGGCCTAACCTATTGTCATCGTGCAATTCTCTAAATAGGTCTATTTCATCAGATAGTCTCTCCAAATGCCAATTTGACTCCTTGTGAACCAATGAATTAGTGATCTTTAACTGCTCAAAACAGATACAACTGGGGTTTACATGAGACAGGAGTGGCTCTGAGAAATCCCAGGAGATTAGTTCATGAATTGGATCAATATCCTTGGCTGTACTATCATTGTTGCTGAGTTCAAAGGTAAATGAGAAATGCACGGGACAGTTATAATTAGAGCCGCTTCTGGACACAATTTCATCTGAATTGGTTATGCTTACTTCAACTGAAAATTGCTGCAAACTGTTACATTCCAAGTTTGATACTTCAAGATAAGTGACCCAACAGTTAGAATGTCCAGAATCTGTTACTGAAAGGGGCCTCCACTGAATGTTCTTACTAACCACCAAATCAGAATTCAAGCTCACACTCGATGAACTTAACCCTTTCACAGGCTCATTAAAATAAAGAACAATTGGTAGAATCCCTTCCTTCAGTGAGTAACAACAAATGGAGCTCAAGGAAGATAAACTGAGGTTTGAACCATTAGAAGGCCACGAAGCAATCAGCTGTGGATTCTCTGGACTAGATGTCTGAGCTAAAAGCCAAAGGTGATAGAACCATCCACTTTGATCACTTGGGTCTGTAAAAAGGGCCTGAGTTACAAGTTCAAACTCCTCTGAAAAGATCTTCTGCTTTGACTCGAAACCCTTGCTCTGTTTGATTAGCAGATTGGACAGAAGTATACTGCAATACATGGAGTGAGACACTGAAGCATATAGCTTAACATATCGTACAAAAGTAACTACCAAGATCTGATGAGTAAACATAATACCAACTGTGGAAACCACTAACAACAAGGATAATACAAATTCTCAAAACAAATTAAGTCTAATTAAGGATAGTAAGCCAGGGTACCAAAATTAAGTGCTAATCTAAGACGCCAAGTCCTCAAGTTAATCTGTTGTTTTACATGATAAGCACTTGATTATTTATAAATCAATGTCAGTTCAGTTGTTCACCAGATTTGAGCAATCTTTTACTACAGACAGAACATAAGACACAGGACTTTAGTAGTTAAGGGTTCACTTGACCTACTGTTATTAGTTGCATATGTTTTGATCCATATACTGACTCCAATTAAAAGTTCAAACATCACCAGATGGACATGTGCTAAGAGCATTTAGAAAAAATGTATATTAACTACGGCATACCTGCGATTATGCCATGCTGAGTAATTACTGAAGTTGTCACTTATCTTATCCATAGTGTACTTAAGCTCTTCCTCTTCTGGAACCCCCATGAATCTGGCAAGGAACCTGCCCAGGGGGAAATCAATCCAAGGTTCCAAACAGATAGTCTGGGTCTGAATTTCCAATATAAAGTAAATTTACCTGCGGTAATTCCATCCATGGAAATTCCTTGCGTCCACCTTCAGTAGTTTATCCAAGAGGCCAAATTCACACTTGAAATCCACTGGGGCGAGCTTTTGATTTAGCAACCACTTCCGGTGATACCAAGCCCCGTAGGATTTTGGGTTCTGCCTCAATGCAACCTCTACCTTCAAAAATTCATAGCTGAGGGTCATATAAGCAAATCAACTGCATTGACACTTGAAACAGGTAAATCATGATAGAAACACAATACTTATTAGACACTACCATTTGCATTTTCTAACTGTAATTGCTATTCCTGTCTCTGTGACCGAGTTTTGATCCCAACAAAGATGACTAATTTAGTTTCTTGAGAAAGCATAGCCTCTAATGAAGAGCACAGGACAATCTGATCCATGGTGGCATGTTCTATACAATTAATCACAAGTTCAAAGCTCACCACTCTGAGCTCATCATCAATGGCAGATTTGATGGCCTCCGGCTCGGAAAGCTCCCCAATGTTGTGCTGAAACGCGAGCTTCCGGTAGTTCCATGCTGTGTACGCCTCAGGATTAATCTCTAGCAGCTTGAAGCTCAGCCCGAGTGCCTCCTTGGTGTAGCTGCAGGTCCCATTGATCCAAACAACAAGTTCATTCAATCATTCTGTCACTGAATTACGAACGTGATAACCTGAATCTAATCTTAAGACCTTTTGGAACAGAAGAAAGCCAAAAATGTGAGAGCTTTAGTAGGCACTAGAATCAAACAAGAAGAATTGAACAGAAGAAGAAGAACAAGATCGAATCTTTCGGCCTGAAATCCTCCACGGATACCAATTTCTGAGCCATAAAGACCCATCGAATTCGATCTTACGAGCCATTGGAGGAGGCGCGGCCCTAAGGGAGGAGAAGGAGGATGGATGGATGGATGGATGGATGCTTACGTGCGGGAGTGGTGGTTGTGCAGGACCTGTGCCTGGAGGACGCGGAGCTTGGCGGCCTTGGCCTCCGCCGCCGCCGCGTCCTCCGGCTTGTCCGGGCGGCGAGGCCGGCCGTGCATCCTCCTCCTCCGGCGAGGCGGCTGCCGCAGGGTTGGATTGGATCGGATCTCAAGGAGAGGAGGAAGAGGAGGAGATTGGATTGTTGGAACTTAGAATCCCCAAGTCCACCGCCTAGTTCGATCTTGGTTCTTGGAGATAAGCAGTAGTAGTACCTTCACTGTGGTTTCCTCAAGAGAAATCTACTTCTACACCATTTTGCTGGCAAACTATACTATTTTTTTTTACTTTTATTTATGAGGAGTGGAATACACTATCGACCATATTTTTCAAGTTTTATTTTGGACTACCTTGATGTAATATTTTTATTTTAGGCTAGTTAACTTTACATGTTACAATACATTTTAGTATCTGTTTGGGGGAATTGCTAATAGTTAGAGATTCTTCTAGAACTCCTCCAAGCTGTAGCGGTAGAATTCAAAAAATAAACTAGAAATGAAAAGCGTTTCTCCAGATTCTCACCAGCTGCTTCTCAGAATCTTAAACTCTCCCAAATAGGGCCTTACTCCACCTCCACGTTTTTTTTTCAACGATGTCCTTTCCAGATAAAGGTACACCCCCTGCGCAAAGGTGGATGAGTTTGTTGCTGTAACTATGCCAATGTGATCGATCTCATTGATAGTATGAAGATGTGGCCTAGGGTGGTCCAAATTGTAATAAATATAACTAAGTGCTCTAAAGTGAAAAAAATAGATAATGATCCAAATTGAAACTTTGATAAAAGAGGGTGGCACAAATAAATTTTACTATTTATTCATTAACCTTTAAAAGTAGCTGAACTATTCTCCGGTTGTTTTATAGTGGAGATAATTTGCAAGAATACTCATATGCAAGAATTTGGTGTTTCTTAGGTGGTATTTGGATCCAGGAACTAAATTTTAGTCTTTGTCATATCAAATGTTTGGACACTAATTAGAAGTATTAAACGTAGACTAATAATAAAAATAATTGTATAAATGAGAGCTAATTCGCGAGACAGAATTTTTAAGCCTAATTAATCCATAATTAGCACATGTTTCCTGTAGCATCACATAGGCTAATCGTGAATTAATTAGGCTCAATAGATTCGTCTCGTGAATTAGTCCAGTGTTATGGAATGGGTTTTGTCACTAGTCTATGTTTAATACTTCTAATTAGTATCCAAACATCCGATATGACATGGCCTAAAATTTTAGTCCCTTATCCAAACACTCCCTTACTCGTAATAATGCAAGTTTTTTAAATACAAGTTAGATGCACACATAACACAAATCAAATTCCAGATCCATAGAACACTTTATAACATTAAAACTGTGTAACATACTAACTTGTTCATAGAACACTATATCACATTAAACCGGTGTTGCCGATAAGATGGATAGTTTCAAAAGTCAATGATGTAGTATATTTAAAACCGGTGAGATTATAAAAATATAAAACATACATAAAGGAGGTGCCAATATTTGTTACTGTTTTTAAGATGTCCGGAGTATATCCTTATATAACTCTACCAAACATATACTAACATAACATTTGAAAATGAAACCTACATTTATTCTGCCAAATCTGATGTTCTTATTCATCAAGTCATTTGCTTGGCAATGCGATTGCTACATTTCTTTGTACAATATGTCAATATGTGCACAACAGCACAGGGCTCTCCTTGGTGTACATTTTCTGATCATACATACAGAACTTGATGCCTATGTCTAATTACATTGTTACACATAGTATGGAATACTTGGTCCGAATGCAGCAAGAGTACACTTTATGTTGACACAGCCCTGAAAATACAAGAGGGACAATACCTCAGTAAAATCAATTTAGTACAAATGTCAGAGAAAGCTTTGCTTTGAGCCAATGGATTTGATTTTACAGGCTGAAAGGCGTCAATTAAGATAATTCACTTTACAAAGGATAGTCCAACTTTGCCTGAGTACACTTCAATCACACAACTTTTTATTGCTTTATTTATTTTAACAGGTGGCAAGTTAGGTGGCAGAGCTACAAGATCAATTTTCATCTTTGCCAGCATAGTTGTGGCGAAATGCACATGAGAAGTCCTTGAGTTCACAGCCATCAGCACATAGCTTTCGGTAACTGCAAAAACTAATGTTAGTTGTGCAACGATTGAGCAGAGAAAATATAGTATGGTTCTGGAGAAGTTTTGGTTTAGAAAACGGGCAAAAAAAATTACATTTCAAGTGCCTGAGAACCAAAGGGACAATTGAAGCCAACTCCAGATGCAGAGGCCATGGCCAAATCCAAATCTTTGGTCTGCAAAAGAACATAAAAGATTAAATTACTTTGATCTGATAATGTGTAGATAGTTCTAATTCTGTTCTTTATATATCTTCAAGAATAAAAGTAATGGTTAATCGGTTACCAATCAGTTGAGAAGAAAATTATAATTTTTAGGACACAACAACTCAGTCTTTGACAATCAATGACTAATTTGATGTAGCAGAGAGTACTGTATCTTGGCATCATACCATTAGTTTGGAGGTGAAACCACCATCATAGTTCCTCGATGATGGCACATCCATCATTACTCCAGGAACTGGGTTATATGTGTCACTGTTTAAGTCAATAGAAAGGGCACGCAAACTTCAGATTATTCAACCTGTAAGTCAACTGCAACCCAAACCACAAAGGACAGGTGAAGAGCACACAATACCTGCTCCAGCAGCGGGCACTTGAGCAGTTGAATATGTCTGTAAGAACGCTAGCTTTGATGCCGAGATTCTGACCAAGAGCAAAAGCTTCGGAGACTCCAAGCATGCTGATGGCCATTGCCATGTTGTTACAAATCTTTGCAACCTTGAAAAATAGAGCATCAAAAGTGAGCTTGAATCATCTGTACACAAACAGTTTTGAAGAGATCTTAATGAAGAGCTAGAGTTACTAAAACTTACCGAGCCATTTCCAGCCCCGCCACAATATATTGTTTTTTTGCCCATTGAGAGAAGTAAGGGTTTTGCTGCTAGATATGCTTCTTCTGAACCACCTACCTATATATCATTCCTTTGCACCAAAATAAGACAGAAATCCTTCCATCTAATGTAGCAACTGTCCGACCAAAGTATATTCCTGGTGATAACACCAAAGTTACGAAAAAGCAAGGATTGAATACCATGAAAGTGAGTTTCCCAGCTTCTGCAGCAGGAACACCTCCGGAAACAGGAGCATCCAGCATCATCGGTTTTTCAGCATAGGCTGGAAATACACAAAAGGTGACATTACCACCTTAAATATTCAGATATACTTCAGTTTTAATTGTTGTCGGGGCTAAAAGATGAAGAAGCTTTTGCTCCATCTTTCCCACATACAATATATTCAACTATCCAAGTTTTGAACTTCTAATAGCAAATCATGGTTAATATGCTATTATAATATATAACCTTTCTTTTCTTTCAAAGTGCATCTTGAGATGTCCATGGATATTTTCCTTGATGTTTGTGGATCAACTGTGGATGAATCTATATACAACCAAGGTCCAAGGCAGCCCCCATTAGCAAGCAAACCATTCCGTCCATTGTATACATCTAATACCTGAAAAACATCTGTGAACACGTAAGATTTTAATATTCTAAAGGGGTTTTTTAAAGTTTTGACCTACAATACTCATACATCACCATCTCTTTAAGAATTCTAGAGCAAAAGTTCGATGCAGCAACAAGCTACGGTATACAGATTTCTACATGCGGGACATGCGAGGGTATTACTCTCTGATATCATGATCTAACTAGGTAGTAAGAGACTAAGAGTGTAAAAGGAATTGAAAAGAAGGGGATATCATGGTTCAACCAGCTTACATGGGCAGACGAAGGCAGCATCGTAATTACGACATCACTAGACTTGGACACTTCAAGTGGAGACAGTTTTGTGGGAATTCCATCATCCGAGAATTTCTTCATGGTATTCTCATTGCTGATATCACATATTCAATGGTCATTGGATGGCAAACATAGAACATTGTATTATACTGGGACAGAAGGCTTATATTTATAAGTTCCTTGATAAACAAACTAAACTTGGAGAATAAAAACCTTTGACTACAAAAAAAATTGCCAAAATGAAAATATGCAAGGACTTACACATCATGAACAGTCACTTTATATCCAGCCATTACCAGGTTCCTCGCCATATGGGCACCCATATTTCCCAGTCCTATGAATCCTACATTCTGAGAAGAAGTATCAACAACTCACATGAAAACCAATACAGTGACGCGTCAAAAAAAAAAGAAGAACAAATATTTTGCCCTCCTCCCTTTTAACCATGCTCTGGTCAAATTCAAGCTGGTACAGTACAAGCACAGCTGTAAAAATGATATCTTAGCATTTCGATACCGCAACGAAGAACAGAAGATAGAAAGGATACCTCCAACTGAGATTGAACCGCAGCGGACGAGAGGCCCCGGCGACAGTTCCAACCCAAATGTTGGACCATCGAACGAACCCTCCATCCAACAACCCCCATTTTCTCTGAACTGCTAGCCGATTTGCAAACCCTTCACTTTCGCTTTACTGGCCAAATATTCGCTGCAAAAACCAACAACCAACTCACTCTACAGTCTACACTATGCTAAGCCCGTTAAAATTCCAGGGCTATCCAACATATTTGATTCGCCACTAATTCCGAGGGGTGGTCAAATCAAGAAAACGCATTTTCCAGGGAACTAGGGGGAAAGGAGGAATTTTTCCTTTTTTGGCCATGCGAGCAAAATTGCTCGGGCCGAATCGAATCATGGTCATGGCAACTGCGGATTCGACGAGGAAATCAAATTCAGCACAAGAATCAAAATCGAGGAGAGGCTTACAGATGCGGGGCAGGTAGAGAGGAGGAGAGGCTGATCGAGTGAGCCGCCGAAGAGTTGGGAATGGGATTACAGCGCCGTGTCACACGTCCATATCCCTTCAATTTTCTCCTTTCTCATTTTAGAGGCCGTCCCCCTAACTCAGATCGTGCCACGTGGCATAACGCCAATCTTAAAGCAGCATCCTTCCACCTCTGGAATGGAGCAATTTTCGCGTGAATTTTACAGGAACTTGAACTGATTCGCGTGAAGTTATCTGTGCTTAAAAGGAGTCCTAACCGCATTCAAATATATACTCATCATAAATAGGAGTATAAGAGATTATGCTAGTTCTAAGATGGTGTTTGGATACTATGGCTAAACTTTAGTCTCTATCACATCAGATTTTTGGAACTAATTTGGAGTATTAACGTAGACCACTTACAAAATTAATTACATAGATAAAGGCTAATTCGCAAGACGAATCTATTAAGCCTAATTAATACATGACTAGCACATATTTACTGTCGCACTGCATTATCAAATCATGGTCTAATTAGGCTTAATAAATTCGTCTCGCAAATTAATTTCCATTTATATGTAATTAGTATATATTTAATACTTTAAATTAGTGTCAAAAATCTGATGTGACAGTGACTAAAGTTTAATCCCTGGTATCCAAATATCACCTAAAAAAAGATTATGCTATACGGTTTGTCCATAAATATAAGTGATTTGTTTGTGATCTTTAGACATAGCTTTTGTACTAGTTTATTTTACATCTATCAACTTTTGTACTAGTTAATTCTCCGTCTACTATAATTTATACTGATTTATCTTCCACTATCACATTTTGTAATATTTTACTATTTTCATAAATTTTTAATAAAAATGGCATATTTCTTATATCTGTGATTGGAGCCTCGGAGATAATAGTTGTATTATATTCCAAGCCCACCTAACCGATTTTATCTTTGCTGAACAGGCATCTATCAGCAGACACTCAATGGAGAATCGAATTATAACTAAATAAAATCAGTGTCGATATGGTAACTTTTCTCAACCCTCTTCCTCTTAATACAATTTAGCTATGCTCAGCTAAAAAGAATTATGACATTAATAACTACTATTGAATTGTTGAGCACGAGCGATGCAGAGCAGAACCACCGGAACAAAGAATCACAAATCTTACTTTGAAGCGAACATCATTTCCATATTTCATTTCAATTCAATCCCCACGCACTGCATACAGTTCTTCTCTATTTTTTTACCCGAATAATTTCTAAGTTCAGAACTCTGAAATATGTCATTATCTAAAATTCTCTGCCTTCACATTTCTCCTCACACAGACTACAGAACTGTAAAAGCTGGTATAACTGTATTTCACATACCTATACCTGTATATATATCTGTATGGCTAGCCACTAGCTGCACTCACTTTCGTGATGTAATTTTGTAATACCAGACGACCAGAACTACTAAACTTACACTGAACAAACCACACCTTATGATGTCAAACTGCTAAATTAATACCGTGTACAATGGATAGTTTGGTTCAGCTCTCTGTGTTGCCTAACTATATCCGCCGCATTCTCCATGTTCTCACTTGTCACATAGCCTCTTATCATCTTATGCTGTCGCCATTGGAAATTTGCTCCATGTTTCCTATTCTTGCATAGGTGATTCTGAAGTTCGACGAGCTAAACCTACTGAACATATCAAAGCTAGCTATTCACATTCATTGCGCTTCTTAATCTGCACAATTCAACAGCGAAAGCCCAGTGAGGATATGCATAAATATCAGTGGAAGTTTTCGTCTCTTGTTAAAAATGTGATAAATATGTCTTAGATTCTTGATAAATGTCTTAAATAACAAACCTGAATTGTCATACAATGTTATCTCCAGATTCTCGATGCTGCGCTTGCTGTCTATCACCATTGTTTTCATTTACAGCATTACTTCCAGGTTCTTGTCGCTGACCATCATCGACAGTTTGAGCTAGCTGTTGATTCCTCCTAGATCTCCACCTCAAGTATTCCACTAGCATTGAGTTCGCACTGATAGCAATCCCAAACCCAGTGAATGAGGATAGTAGGACCGCAAGGACTGGATTTACTTTTAACTGCAAGTTTTAAGATGATGATAAATTGATAATGAGCAGAGTGATGAAATACATTAGCTGCATCAAATGTAATCATGGGAAATAATTTCTTACCACATTGTAGAAGATATGAGCAAACAGTATCACAATAGCAAACTGGAACGAAGCATAGGCCCATAGATAACTCTTGGTTACTGTACGGACAAAAAGAAATATCGGATTGTCATGGTTGCAAGGAGTCCAAAGGCAACAAATAATGAACCCTAAGTTTGTAGGTATAATTTACTTCTGCAGAAATACTGAAATCGTTTAAACTACCATTATTTTCCTATTACAAGTTTTGAACTCACTACACAAGTTAACAAACTAGATAAAAATTTGGAGTACAGACTACAGACCTGAACAGTGGGTGATTACTACAGTTTAGGTCTTCTACCACTTATTAAATACTGAAAGCTTGAAATGCCCTTAGTTTCTCTATACATTAACTACTCTTATGGCATTGTAAGTGCGAACTACAATAATTTTGAACGGTAAAGATGACAGTGCATTACCCATGGTGGATGCTATCATGGAAGAAAGGAGGCCCAACACGCATGAGAAAGGCAACGAAATTGCCAGTGCGTGTGACAGCAAATCTGTAACCTGTTTCAGTTAAAGAATCAACACCATTTAGAGAGGTTTCACAAGCTAAGAAAAAGCAGAGTGGGACATTCTGCATGCATATAAATAAGAATGAGACCCTAACCAGAAGTTGTTCCAAGAAGCAGAAGTATGCAAGCATGCTAACCATGACCAAAATTGGAATGTCCTGCCAAAATCTGTTATAACTGAAAGTTAAATTTCACAACCGTGCAAAATGATCACAGAATGCTTATTTATTTATTTTTTTCAAGAGTGAATCTACCACGAAAAAAAATAATTTGAAAACAGTACTTCCTTTTTCAACAATTCATAAATCAAGACAGCTAAAGCACGTTTACCTGTATTGTTGAGAGGCTCTTTGATGAGCACCATTTGTTACTCGCCTATTAGCAGTTTGAGTTGGTATTCTCAACAAAGTGACAGGCAAATTTTGAACTTCTTGCTTACAAACATCACATATCTTGTTTCCCTTGATGCTAAACCATTTGACAGCGCAGTCTTGGTGTGCAAGAGCAAGTTCCCCTTTGCAGCTGCACTCCATTTTAAGTGTTTCCCCTCCTTCATTTAGTTCAACTAGACAAATTCTGCAGACTGCCTCTTCTTCAGGGATATCTTTGCCTCCATCTCCAGGAACTGTCAAGAATTCAGTAAAGTGAACCAATTCTGTTTCAGAAGCAAACAATTTGTCCTATTAAAATGATGCAGTAAAGTCTTAGAAGTGAAGATACCATCCACTGTCTCCTCAATCCCATCACTTGATGCAGTTGTATTAACTGGGATAGGTCGGGGAGTTGTTGGAATCACACGGATGACACCTAATGAATCCGCCCTCCTCAAACTCCTGTTTTTACGATTTCCTGGTACTGAAAGTGAGCGCCTAATTCTTGCTTGAACATCTTGATCCTGCAAACATCAAAAACCATTTAAAGAAAACTTAGTAAAACTACAAATATTTGCGCAACATACTGTAAGGCAGTAAGCCCATTTCCGACTGGTAGCATGAAAATACTACTATCTAGCTGTACCATCTATCTGGAATTCTTATAAAAAATGCAGAACAAAAATGTATATACTTACATCTGTGGTTGGTAGGTTGTTGATCTGATTTGCCGGAGAAGAAGTTTTGTCTGAAGTTGCTATAGGTGTGACTGGCAAAGAATGTGTACGTTTTGCGGATAATGAGTTTATGACTTTTCTAAAAGAAAATGATCTCAACGTTGATGTATTATCCTGCTGCCCTTCTGATGGTGTCCCAGGAACCAGAAGGATCGCCCGATCACCTTCCTGTGCTGAACTTCTCGCCCTGAAACTCTGTTGCGGAATGATGCTCTTCAGAGAAGATTTTGTTCTAGTTGAATTAGGCCTCGGGGGCAATCCTGCTCTCGTTGAGCTGGGGCTAGGGGATATATTAATTCTCGCTGAAGTGCCTATTTGGTTATCCAGGGTCCTAGCTGGTATTTGCAAAGAAAGGTTTGGCCTTCGCGAATTATGCCCAGATGCAGTTTGCACACTGTCATCCTGGGCTGGTGCCTACAAAGTCAGCAAACAGTATTATCAGCAAGCTATGCTACATAAATTCCATTAAATTAAACTTGCAAGACTAATGGAATATGAACAAGGTAAAGGCATCAATCATCAGGGATAAATAGTGATTCTTGAGCCGATACAATTTAATGAAGCTCATGGCAATCATCTGAGCTACCGAGCACACATGGAGTAGCACCAGCAGACATGTACCTTATGGCCTTATGGGTCAATTGTTTAGGGCTTTATTTATTCCATTGAGTCCAAAACTTCAAATTCGCACATTAAGAATTTGACGAAAACATAGCTATGATCTCTACTGTCCATCCTACTTCATTCTCTACCTACCTAACTGAACATATCATTACCAATCTTACCTTGCTTGGATTAGCTGTAACCTAGATAATTTGTGTGATGGAATTACAAACAACTGGTCTCCCGATCCTAAGACTATGTATTCAACAAACTTAAAACGCATTTTCACAAGAAGAAATCAAGATTAGCACCCACATAATCACACTTATAGCAATACACTTCAGTGATGCAATTTCGTCAGAAAGGCCAGCAAACCTACTACTGTAGAATCTAGTATAATTTTAGCTCATGTGACAAAGTACAAGGAAAACCAGGGTAGGCAAACACGAGCTTTTCACTACAATCGAGGAAACCTGCCCTAATAAAGGGAAAAAGCAAGAAACAAATCATTCGATCTTCCCTAAAAAATCAAATCTTCCAAAAAAGAGAATAAAAAAAAGATGCGGCAAAAGAGCATCCACAAACATTCCACCAACTCCGCCACAATTCACCCTCAAAGCTTCGCAACTTTCGCCTCTGATCAACGAAATTAAGAGACGGATTTAAACTGCAACACCCAGCGATAACAGGTCTGAACAGATTGTCTCGCCATCCCCCATACGGAACCAAGAAACCATCAGAAGTTGAACTACTCGAAAACTATCCTAGAAAGAACATGGAAAGTCGGGGGAAAGAAACGCGAGTCGAGCTGCTTGGGGTGGGAGAACCTCACCGCGGAATCGGCGGGCTCCGAAGACTGGCCCTCCTCCGCTTTGTCCATGTACGCTTCGCCGCCAGAATTCGAGGGGCGAGAGAGAGAGGGGAAGAGAGCAAGTGGGTGTTCTTGTTGGGAGAAGCTCAGGGGAGGAGAACTGGAGAAAGGACGTTTTTGCAATTTGCAAATGGTTCTTTTTTTTTTCCATCTAACCCCTCAGAAGCCGGAATTACTGTTTATATTCTATGGCCTAATCATAAAAGAGCAAGTACTAGCAGGCTATAAGCCAGCTATAAACATATTTTAAAGAGATAAAGGAAAAGAGAAAAGCAACGGACTACAGATTTGTAGTGATCAGGTGTAGCACGGACTCTAAGACGTAATGTGTTTATGATAGGTAGGACAAGGTATTAATAATATAGTAAGCAACTATTGTATGAATTAGCTATTACATTGGCTATAGATAATTTGGAGCTATTAGTTGGCTATACTATTAAACTTGCTCAAACCACGCCGCCGCACGCACCACAGTTTATACTGTTTGCTCATCTTAATACTAGATACAGTAATAAGATTTTAGTGCTTCCTATATTTCTACCCCTCCGTCACAGAATGAGTTCATTTTCGTCCATCTGTTTATCCAAAATAAGTTTACTTCAGAAATAATTAAATCAGAGTTTATAAAAATTAGAGATAAATACATATGAGATAGGTGAAAATGGACTTATTCTAGATAGAGGAGGTATTTATTTGTCACCTTTAACTCTGTATGTAGGCATTCATAACGTTTATAAAATATGCTAATTTTACCCTAGGGTCTCATCTTTTCGCTTATTCTTATGTTTATCTACCAAAATTTTAATTTTCAACATTAAATTTGGAGCTGATTTTGGGTTTTTTTCATCAAAGTTTATTTTTCAGCATTTGCTTTTAGATCACTAAAAACACGTATATAAAAGTTTTATTCACAAATTACTATTCGTTTGCAAATATAAATATACCGTTTGGCTTATTCCATGAATAAGCGAAACGATGGGTCCGTTAGTATGGTTGTTTAAATACCCTCTTTGTTCAAAATTATCATTTGTTTTTTTTAAAAAAAAAGTACCAGATATGTGAGTCATTTGCATGTTCTGAGACAACAAGTATTTCCGTCCGGAGAAAGTACTATTGCTAAAGAACTCTCTAGAATTAAACAATCAACATAGTTAAGTGGGTGTAATATTAATTGTACGGGTAAAATATTTTTTTCATTGAGATCCGTGTGGTGACAAGTATTTACAAATAACTTTTATGGTAAAAATAAATACTCCTAACAAGTAAACGAGAATGGATGTAGTATTTGACATACAATTTGCACGTCTCATAACATTTAACATCCAAATCGCATGTCTTTTGAAATTTGTCATCGAGAGATGTGAATTATTATGTTTCGTGCCACTTTCTCTTATTTTTCTCATTCCTTTTTTTTTCTTCTCATGTTAGTGGACGGTTTTGTTGTTTATATCGTTGCATGTTTCAAATCTCTACACCGAAATCTTGGGTAAGTTTTAACCCTATCAAACTTTTAGTAGGGTAGTATTCTTTTAACTTTATTGAATTGGTAAGATTTGGCTTCATTCCAAGGCTGTGTTTAGTTCAGCGCAAAGTTTAGATTTTGGTTGAAATTGGAGATGATGTGACTGAAAAGTTATGTGTTTATGACAGGTTGATGTGATGGAAAAGTACTGAAGTTTGGATCCAAACTTTGAATCTAAACACAGCCCAAGTAGCTAGCAAGTGGAGTGGAGTACTGTTTAAGACTACTAAATAATTGATAGGGTAAGAATTGACATCAATCCAAATAGACATAGAATGTGCACTATATTAAATACTTGTTGGTATTAATCTCTAGCAAGAAAATAAACCATATGGCCCTAGTGGCAGTCAAGCAGAAGTCCAAATCGGTAAAGTACCCTGGACTTTTCTTTCTTTCTTGCAAGCTTGGTCTATCTTTGCCAAGTTTCATCAGAGCCACTGGACTAACTGAAAAAAGGATGGCAGAAATCGAAAGCTAAAGGCACACTAGTGTATTCTGAAAAATGACCCTCATACCTGCCGCTTGGAAATGAAATATGCCCAAATAGGAGGCATAATCATAAGTGTATCTGTAAGTTGTTTGGCAAATGCTAAGGTTAAAAAAAATTATCTTTCAGCTACTATAGTGGTTAAACTTTAAATTTTGAATTGCTTAGATTTCCCTTCCAAACATCTGGTTGGCTAAAAATGTATGGATTTTAATGTATTAGGATCAGTGCTATGTAAATATATTTATATTATGATAGAAACCTTAAAAATATTTATATATGGAACGGTGGATAAGCAGATTACTAGTTAGGAAAAAAAATTAATTCTACACATTAATGTCATGATGTCAGCATGTGGGCAGATGGCCAGCATATGGGAGCTGGCTGTGTTTATTTTCACGCTAAAATTGAAAGTTTGAAGAAATTAAAACGATGTGATGGAAAAGTTAAAAGTTTATGTGTGTAGAAAAGTTCGATGCGACGAAAAAGTTAAAAGTTTAAAGAAAAAAAGTTGGAATCTAAATAAGTCCTGCCATTCAGTTACTCTGAACTTTTCTGAACTTAATCCCTGCGCTGCACAGGTGTTAGGCTCGAGTTAGGTTTGACAAAGCAAAGAGAAGATCAGCAGCAGAAACAGGAGATAAGTTCAGAAAAGGCGGCTGTTTTCCCTCGTGCCTTTTCACCCGGAGGACTCTCCCTTCTCGTGCCTGCCTGACTTAATTATGATGCTGAAAGTGTCTTGACTAATCCACTCATTTTAGCTAGGTGCCTTAATTCTGTACGTACAGTGAGATGCGTGCTTAATTAAAAGTGCACAGACAGGTAAGTGTAACGGATGAGAGAAGGTGACAGGAGAAGATGATGTGAGGGACGCAAGCTATCTCATGTCGTTCTCCCTGCAAGTTAATGGTGAAAACTGGCAAGTCCATAACTAGTACTTAGATCTCTGTTTCGTTCATTACATGTGTTTTTTAGACTTTAATTTATCATTGGCTTTTTTAAAAAAATAAATTAAGTTCTTAGCTTTTTAATATTCAATTCATTCGTTCATGTTCTCGAATACTCGGGGCCTCATTGTTGCTCTAATAAGCTAAAATTTAGATTTTGAAACTCAATTTTGAAGAAGATTTTAAGATATTTTCAATATAGTTTCTTTTTCAGTATTAGCTTTTAAGTATCAAAGAACATATATATATATATATATATATATATAACTTATTAATTTTTATTTCCTAATAATCGTATTGATTTATTGAAAAATATGGGTTACCGATAGGAGCCTCAGTTTCACTCCTCATCTATCATCTGCTAAAAACAAAGTCTCGGAGACACGTACTGAAGCCGGGATAAAATAAGGGAGGTTCTTTTGTGCTTGGAATTGATTACGACCGTTGATCGTCTCTAATCCAACGCATCAGGATAAAAGGTACGATAGAAAAGGTACTTAAAAGATGGACCAGGTATAGAAGGTGGAAGGTTAAAATAGTAATTGACTTTCATGGTTTATTTGTACAATTAAGGGCAAATACGTACAAACAACTTTTACCTAACTGTTCACGTCCGTTTCCTGATCCTTCGATCTCGGGTTGAGTTTACTAGAGGCTGCAACTGATTAATCACCACTCGATTAATCGGATGAGATTAGCATGCACCGGCATGGTGCTTAATTAGTTTCTCAACGTGGCTGATCTGCTTAATTAAATGCTCAACAATTAGCCACGAAATATCTTCTTTGATCATATGCTAGCAGCTTAGAAATAAAGCGCATCGATTTCGCAAGGAATCAATTACTCTAAACTTTTCAATTCCATTTAACAGCTTCACAACAATGAATCAATGCTTCAGCGTTCTGTAATCATCAGCAATGGCCAGAGTCCAGCAGCAACAGCAACATTACGCAACATTCAACAACAATCAGATCAACTACCATACGCCCTATGCACTGGCACAGGATGCCGCTGGCCAGCGGATGGGTACGGGGGCTGAGGAATTACTAATCTACCCTAGTTAACAATATTTCTTATTCCTAAATTATCTTTTCAGAATCGACGGTCGGTATTAATTGGTTTAGGAGGTACCCCAGGTACCTCCCAAGCACTGTAAAACCCCTCTAAAAATATCACGCGTGACACTTGGCTTATGCAGGTATAGCTAGTTCGATCGATCGATCGATTAATAAATTTAAAACCAACCTTTAATTCTGTGGAATGTGACGCACTGACGCTGGATTGCTGGAGCATGCAAATGCGCCTCGATTTAACAGGTTCCACACATGTGGAACCATCTGATTAATTGAACTAGTACCGTAGTAGTACGTACTAGCTACCTTTTCTGAAGATATTTCTCATAACAAAATGTATAATTAAGCAACAAAACTGGTTATCTTCAGAATCAGATCCATTATTAATTTATTGTTCGGCTGGGGCCTGCACGCCATCATGATTCATGACCAGTTCCTTCGGAGAATGCGTTGCAAACTTGCAATGCTTTTGTCGCTTTGGCTAAGGGCACCCGCAATGGTTATTTATAGGCTCTTTATAAGAAATATATGTCAACATATTTTTCCACTTGGAAGAGATTAAATGAAGAAAGAGAGCAAAGCTATCTACTAACCTGGAGATAGTCTATAGAGAAAAACAAGGCAATGCATTAGAGAGCTATAGATACCCATGTAGACATACTATTGAGATGGTTTACTATTAATCTAGTCTATTGCTGAGATGTACATGTTTTATAGATAGCACCTTACTTTACCATTGCGGGTGCTCTAATTGATCGTCTTTTGGCTCAATTAATGAACGCTTATATTATCCAGTGGAACTACAGAACTGGACACTTGCATGATGAGAGAGCTTTAAGCATTATGAGATAGAATCAAGCATGTGATCAGATTGGTTTCTTTTCGTTTTCTGACTCTGGAGCCACCGCACGCAAGTATTATCTCTGTCACATAATAATAATATTTTTTATTTGTATTTCTTATAGAATGTCACAATAAAATACTAATGGTCTTATTAATTATTTCTCATTCAAAATTTCCTATTTTACACTTAACCACCCTTACACTCTTACCTATACACCATTTAATAAGAGATATCATAGTCTTTCTTTTTAAACCTTAATATATACTAAATATTA